TATTTTGAGTTTCAAATTTTGGGAACCAGTTAAGAACTACTGGATGATTATTTTCTAATTTGTTTTTTGAAATTTCAGTTAACACTTAGATCTCGCTATATAAAAATAAGATGGTGTCTATTCACATCTTAAAACATTATTTTTTTCAAGTGCATGAAGGGCACAATTCAGAAATTTCTTTAATTGAGTTTAATCGATGGATTGAGGAGGTCGCAACCCCAAAATATGAGATCCTAAAATTAGTTCTAGGTGCGCTTTTATCCAAAGGATTAAATCGGCATTCTACTCCGACGGGAGTATAATATTTTTTGGCTTCTCTTCAGATGCATAAGGGGTTCTTGAACCAATAAAATTTAAATTTTGAGTTCTTAATCACTTAGATGTAACCATCCAGAGCATACATGGTCTCTTTTTTATAAAAAATTAGGACCACATTATTTTCAATTGCATGACTTGTGAGATTAAATCTGCAAAACCTGGGCATCTCAAATAATATCAATAGAGGCTTTTTTCCCTTAGAGACTGACTGGGCAATATGCATTCTGAAAGGGTATAAAATCTTATAGCATACATAAAACCCTAGCCTCTTGGTATTGAAATGAACATTGTGGTCCTAGTATGACTTTAACAAAGACAAATATCCTCTTCAAAACTTTAAAGAACTCAATATTGTATATTGATATTGAAAAAATAATATTAATAAATAAATAATATATAGTCCTAGATTAGTGGAAAAAAAAAATAGCTTGGGGCAAGGCAAGATATCTGTTGAACAAGACCAACACACTGATTTCTTTTGGAATAGAATGGCCAGGCTTACATAAAGGTCTCTGCAACATTTACTTTAAAAACACAATTCTTTTTTTTCTACTTTATTTATTTCTTTTCTACCTTTTTGTGATATGATATGAAACTCTCGTATAATGTAAACCCATTATAAAGCTCTTGTTGCTCTCTTGTGAGCTTGAGCTTGAGCTTTATTTGTATGATTAATGTTTAATTTTAATTAATGATCATGGTCCCATATCAACCCACAACTTATAAGATTTTAGTACTTAAAAAATGACATTGAGGCACCCTTAAGGAAACCAGGGGTCCACAGCTTACCTGGTGGTCAAAAGAATGTTCCTACGAATAGAGTGTGCATGCTAAAGTATGATGTAACTTGCCATGATTATTCTAGACCATTAAATTGCTTAAAAAAAAAAACCCATGAAAAGGAAAGATTTGGCTTCAGTACAATGTAACTGGGAAAAAGAAAACATTTTTTTGTGCATATTTCATAGGAAAGGCATTGATTTTGATGTCACTAATGAAATAGAGTTTCATAAATAAGGTTGGTTGTGTTAAGAATATCTATTTTTATTTACTTTTTGTCCATAAACTTTATATACTTTAACTTTTGGTTTCATGTCTCCCATTTATTTTTATTTTTATTTTTTATTTTTTTAAAATTTACCTCACATTTGTTTGCAATTTCTTTAATTTTCCTGAAACAATACTTAATGAGCTGCTCAAAAATTGATATCTGTTTCGTGACAAACTTTTATAAGTTATTCTTGTGGGATGGCAATTATGGAATATTTTAAAAAGGGAGTTATTGAACATTTTATTATTTCCATGAACTTTTCGACCACAAGATTCACCACGACCATCAAATAATATGCTTTCACAAAACTATTTAATAAATGTTTTACAATATCCATGAAGTTTTCAACCACAAGATTAAACACGACCATAAAATAATATGCTTTCACAAGACTATTTTATGCACATAATCACTAAATTGATTTGCATAGAAGAACTTCCAATTATCAAATCTACCTACAAAGAATTTGTGCTGCAAAATTTATCTTTTTTTCTAAATTTAGCCCAAATTTACTACATTTCTTTATATTTTCCCCTTGTTATATTTTGGATTTCATTTCCATACCTTAAAATCACGTTATTTAAAAGATACAATTTCTATAAGGCTTAGGCTTTGTTAAAACAAAGCAAAACCTCACCTTTAAATCATTGTCCAGGAAGCACTTGGAGTATCGAAAATCTATATGTTGGCTCTAAAATCAAATTTTAACATTGATTATGAAATTTGAAGCTAAAAAAAGGTACAGATCTTGCAGGTCTATTAGCACTTATTTTTAAGGTTAAATTGACAGTCTAGATATTGTGTTACATTTGACTTTAGGGGGCTTGACATCCTAATTTCTTTCCACAATTATAATGATCAAGGATGAGATGATCAATGTGAAGGGTTCTTTTCTGCGGTAACTGTAACTTTTGGTAAATTTTGAAGTGAGGCATTACTTATTCCGATACGGCCGATATCACTATCAAACCATTTTCCTTATTTAAAACTAGTTCCTGTTTTTTCATTAAATAGTAATATTTGAAACTGATCCTAGGTTAGCTATAGACTAAGGGCATGTTGGATTTTCTTTTAAAAAAAATTATTAGGCTTGTTGGATATTCTATTTTTAAAAAAGGATATGGTTTCTATGCGTCTAGCCTGCATGTGGTAGAAATGCAAGTTTGGCAATAAATATATAGTTTAAATATAATTTGATCCTCATTTTTAGCGAATATATAATCTTTAACATAGAGATCATGAATATGAAAAAAAGATTTTTTTTGAAAGCTAGAAATAATAATTATATTAAGAAAATATTTAGACCGTTAATTATATTTATTTTTAGATGGACCACCTATTTGCATCCATCTTTAATACATCTAGATTGCATAATTTAGAAATGCGGTCCCGCCCCGCATGAAACAATTGTTTTTTAACAAAATATCCAGTTATTAAAGAACATTGTCTTGCAATTACCTCTTCCTCCCCCATGTTTTATATATGATATACGTACGGACGCCTCCCTTTTTGCCATGCTTTTGGAGGACATGGGTGCGAGCCAGTAGTCCTCCTCTCTCTGAATTCATTTCTTCTTGGTTTACTATCTTTTGCTAAAAGAGGTAAAAAAAAGAAATGCCTTTCAACACTAGAACTTGAAAAATTCACCCTTTTGAAATTTGAATATTTTCAACAATAGAAAATAAATTTGGATATTTTAGAGGGAAAGACCAGGATACCCCCCTTCTTTACTTGGAATTGCAGGGCTAACCTTGTCTTAAAAAATGGCCAAAAAACCCATAATTTGTTTGGTAATAAGTGATTAATCCACTTTAATACAGGAGCAAATATCGCAGGCGCCCGTACTGTACAACAACTCCCTCAGATAAAATATATACCTAAGAGGATTTTCTGATCTGAAAATTTGGGATCTATCTAAATATCATTAGATTATTATTTTTAACTTTTTTTTTTTTTTGAGTTCTCGAACATCTAGTTTTTTTTTTTTTGAGTTCTCGAACATCTAGCCTTTCTATAAAAATAAACAATTTAATTCTTTTTTTGAAATATTCTAACAATTATTCTTCGGTCATGAAATATTATTTTTTTAAGCACATAGTGTTTATCAATATTTTTTTATTTTTTATTATTTATTTTGAGGTTGGTCATCGGGCTCTAGACATTAGATCTCCAAATTTTTGGATCCAAAGGAGTATTTCCTGCTTGAGTTGTGGCCGAGGGATTAAATGGACAGTATGCTCCCGAAGGAGCATGAAATATTTTCACTAGATACATTTTGCTGCCTCTCCTATGTGCAGAGATGTCCTACAACTGATAAAATATTTGCCCACAGGAAATCTGGACTGTACATCGTGCCATCTCCTTTATAAGATAGTAAAAGTCTTATATCCAGGTTGGGCTATGATGTTTTGGGTCCATGATAAATTAGATTCCAAAGTATTACTAGAAAAATCAAAGTAGGATTTATATGGTAGGGTCTCATGGGATTGTTTGGTATGTTCATGAGCATCTTAAATCCACTCAATATCAATTTTCACCCACTCGCCTCAAAACTCGAATACTGCACGGAGCAGGTTGGTTCAGCGAGTCTCGGATCGGATCGGTGGGTATCAGTTCTTAAAAAATCTTACTTCTTTTGAAGACTTGGATAGATTCTGGTCCGATTGAGATCAAATTTGAACAAAACTCTAATCATTCATGCTTGTTGCTCTGGAACTGGGGGTGTGTTGAATCTGGGTAACTTGCCCGAACCCGAATAATGTTATCCAAGATTTAAAGCATAAATTTTCCATTAAAGGTTGCCAGTAAAAGAGTTGTCTATCTTGTTGCTTTAACAAACACACTCAACTAGAAAGCTTGGGATCACCCTTTTTACTCATGTGCATGATAAGTTTGTTTTAGAAAATTGCATAATTGTAAGAATCATGTTATCTCCCTAACTCCTAAATTAGACGTGCTTCAAAGTGGGAGATTACCTCACTCAAAAAAGATAAAAGTTCAGTTTCTAAAAGACGGATACAATTGTTATTTTTCCAACTTAGAAATTTCATGACAGCAAGGTGCCAAATTCCAAGAGTGGGCTCGGGTCGCAATGATAGCACCCACCGCATCTTATTTTCCATTTTGTGGTTTTCATTCTGACTAACACCACCCTATTAATACTTTTAAAAAATAAATTTTAAATTATTTGAGAAAATGAATAGAGCTTATCTTCCCCTAAATTATCCAAAAATAAAATTAAAAAAAAGTGAATTGGGGCAAGCAAGTCATTTTTCAAAGGTAATGAATGGGGTGTAAGATCCTAAGACCTCAATATGTCCTAGATTTTGTCCATGGCATGCACCCCATCAAAACACCATCTTTCTCTCTCCACACTTCCTATGTTTCTCTCTCTATCCCCTCCTCTACTCCAATATTTCTCTCTCTCTCTGTACTTCAAACTCTTTCTCTCTCTACTTTCCAAGTACATCTCTCTCTCTACACTCCAAGCCCGCCCCCATATTCTCTCTCTTCTATAGATGAGGCATTGTAGGCCCATCTTTTTCTCTGTCCCCCCTATAGCCCTAGATTGATTTTGTAGGGCTCTGATAAAGGATAATTTTACCCCACTGTAAACTGCAAAAAGCCTGCCTCCTCTCAACACAGCGACCTTATTAATGAATAGGAGACCCACACTCACCCCCACCTACATACTATATAGTAGTTGCAATTTGAGGCAAGCCTCAAGTCCTATGTAATTGCACCACCAACTGTAAAAAGAGAAGAGAAGGGAGAGAGAGTAGCAATAACCATGGAAGGATTACCTTATTGCTTCTCTTTGGTTTTGGGGTGCTTTGGGGTGCTGGTTTTTACACTGGTTTTTCTCCATTTTTTGTCATTCTTCAAGAGACATGGGGTTGTTCCTTGTGGGAGTGTTGGGTGGCCTCTGCTTGGTGAAACCTTGGAGTTTTTGAGCCCTCATCCTTCAAACTCCATTGGAGGGTTCTTACATGAGCATTGTTCTAGGTGATTTTGATTCCCTTCTTGGTCTTCTAGTGAGAGAGTCCAATTTGGTTTCAAGCCCCTCTCTCTAGAGTTTGTCTTCTGTTTTCACTTTTTCAATGAGAGAACCGAATTTGATTTTAGGTTTTCAGCTCTCTCTCTCTCTTGCATCAGTCCTGCATCTTGTGATAGGACCTTGTCCATGAACGAGTTTAATCCACATGGGTTACTTGGATTCAGTTCAATTTACTTTTAGGATTCTTGTCCGACTTTGATTTGTTCAGTTTTACTTTTAATCTTCCCTTTCTTCCCAACTTTGTGTTTCTAGATAAAAACTTTACAACTATTTGCCATAGATCGAGTCTCTCTCTCCAACTTGGTGTTTCTAGAAACAAAAAACACTTTACTAGTGGCTGTGATAGATTGAAAGTTTCTCTCTCTCTCTCTCTCTCTCTCTCCAGCTGTGATAGATTGAATTTTGGTCTCTCTCTCTCTCTAGCTGTGATAGATTGAATATTGGTCTCTCTCTCTCTAGCTTGTTCCGGGAATGAAAGTCAATGGTTGATTCCTATCGTGTGTTCTTAGAGTTAAACATTGCAGTGAAATGGACATACTTTTCTCAAAAATCATTATCGCTGTTTATGCTCAAGTTAAATAAGAAAAAGAAAGAGAAGAAAAGCAAGTAGTTCACATGAAGCCCATAATTCTTGGTCTTTTACTCCTTTTATGTATTCATTTCAATTAAAGCATGTCTTGGAAAGGACTGCTTTTTGGGGACTCAATTTCATTTGATGAATCTTTCAATGGGTTTTTTAGTTATTTTTTGTGATGAGCATGTTACTTAGAATCCATCTCTTAATAAAAGTCATTTAAGTTTCAACTGGCTAAAAAGTTATGAGCAATGAACTTTTCAAAATTATTTCTTCAAGATCACCAAATGTGTGCTTTTGAATTATGTTTTCTTTCATTTGGATTTACTAGTCCTCTATTTGTGTGTGTGTTAGAGAGAGAGAGAGAGAGAGAGAGAGAGAGAGATCTAATGAAATGTCCTTGTTTACAGGTATGGGAAGGTATTCAAATCCCACCTTTTTGGCTCACCCACTGTGGTCTCATGTGACCAAGAGCTCAACTCTTTCATCCTTCAAAATGAAGAGAAGCTTTTTGAGTGCAGTTACCCCAAGGCTATCCATGGAATTCTTGGAAAGTCATCCATGCTTGTAGTGGTTGGTGACACTCACAAAAGACTAAGGGGCTTGGCCCTAACACTGGTCAACACTTCAAAGTCCAAGCTTGAATATCTCAATGACATAGAAAACACTGCAAAATTCATCATGGAGTCATGGAGAGAGAAGCCACAAGTCATCTTTTGTGAGGAGGCAAGGAAGGTGAGCGCAGAAGATACTTAATTCCTCTCTTATTTTTCTTGCTACTTGGTTTCTGATGTGTCTTTAAGAGCGAATTACATACAGACCTTAAATTTTTCTTTCTGCTTGGTTTCTTATATGCCTTTAGAGTTCTTTCTTAAGAGTGATTTACGTACTGACTCGAAAACTGTAAAAGAAGTTTGGTCGACTCGTTTTTTTTTTTTCGTTAATAGGGAGTGCCTTAAAGCTTGGGGCACTACCCTACCAACGAAAGTTAAGAAAAAAAAACTAAAAAAATCAGGTTGATTGAGAGGCAATTTTTCTTTTTTTTAAAAAAAATGAGTTAGCTGATCCTCTTTATAATTTCCACCTATAAACTGAGTATTTTGTATTTGACCTAAAATTTTAGAATCCGTACATAAATCACTCGAGTTCTTATTCCCTAAGTCTTTTGTGACTGTTCTTCCAATTGGTTATGTTTGCTGGGTTGAAGGGATGGTTGGTCATTTGTTTTTGGGTGATTTGGGTTTTTGGATTTTCTCTCTCTTTTCTTTTCCTTTCCTTTCCTTTTGGTATTAGTGGATTGTTGGCATTTCTCTCTCTCTCTCCAGTTCTTCTGCTGGAACTTACTGATTTGTTCTTGTTGATGTGTGTGAACACTGTAGTTTTGAAGTGAACTCTCTCATTCTTAGTTTCCTCTCTCTCTCTCTCTCTCTCTCTCTCTCTCTCCTCGTTAAGTGAAGGTTAGTGATTTGATTATTCATTGCAGTTCACATTCAATGTGATTGTGAAGCAAGTTCTTAGTTTGAGACAAGATGAGCCACAGACTACAAAAATATTGGAAGATTTTCTCACCTTTATGAAAGGCTTAATTTCTTTCCCACTTTATATCCCAGGGACACCATATGCAAGAGCAGTTCAGGTATATACCCTCACTTTCTCTTACAAAACAATAACTCTACATAACTAAAATAATACTTCAACTTAGCATTACCAAAATCCATAAATAAGGGTGTGGTCAATGCCATCTCCACACTTCACGTTTTTTGATACTGTGGTACACAAAGGTGCAGGGTGTATCATTACATTGTTAAAGTTCAAGCCTTTTGGTTTTATTATCTTGTCTATTACCCTCAACTCTATATCTTGCCATCTTCTTATTATATGACATAAAACAATATTTTATATCTAAATGTGAATATTTTTACTTCTATTGATTCTTGTACACCATGTTTACTCGTTTAGATTTTTTAAGGACGCCGGTCAGCATGCGGCCATGCCCACATCTGTAGAAATGTGGGCCCCTTAATAAATTTATGTTTGAAATAGAATTCGTTTTTAGAGAATATATAATCTTTATCATGGAGATCATGATTTTGATTAAATAAATAAATTTTAAAAACTATAAATAATAATTTTATTAAAAAAACATTTGGATTATTAGTTTCAATTGTTTTTAGATGGACCACCTATTTGCATCCATCTTGAAGATGGATGCTTTATACATCTAGACCATATATTACACAAATGTGATCTAGCCCACATGAAACAATTGTTCATTTTTTAAATATCAATGTTATCAAGATGGGATTGGCCACCAAATTTTTTGAAATAGATAAATAAGAATAATAGTCTAAAAATATGAATACATTGTAGTAAATTTATTAACTTTGTTTAGCTAGTTGGGCCTTTTAAAATTGGACTGTCCGATTGACCAAACCCAATTTTTGCTATCATGCCATCCAAAAACACCAATTCACCGATAATTATAAAAAAAACAATAGTAAACACCAACACTTGCGTATCCATGCAACACTATTACAGAAAGGATTTAAGAGCACAAGCCAAAACACCTCGGGCACAAAATCTAAGGCTTTTATTTATTTATTTATTTATGTGGGTAAGTTACCAGTAGGATTCGAACTTGAGATGTAACACCGCTAAATGTTAACACTGCTAAGTACTCAAGCCCAAGACTAGCTGCCACCCACTCAAGCCCAACAAACTTACCACAAAAATATCGGTTATAGTTACTTGCACCCTTTTCTTTCTTTTTTTCTTTTCTTTTTTTTTAATTTTTTTTTTTTTTTTGAGCCTTTTATAAATTACTAAAACAACCCCAAAACAGTATAACACCCAATAAAAGATTTAGTGCTGCTACAACAATAAAATATACCGTACAAACAGTGCGCTAGATTTTGTGTGTGGTAAGAAATCGACTAGTGGGTTGAACCCGTAACCACTAAATTTTTTTAAAGTAAAACAAAAGTAAACTTTAAAGTTTAAAATGCCTATATAATGTTTAGGATCATCAAACAATTCTAAAAGCAACACTTTAATGACATTGAAACATTATTTAATATGGTTTTAAAGTGATTTGGTCCATATCCTACTATAGTGAGGGGTTGAGCTGGGATAATCAAGCACTTTTGACCTAATGTTAACACAGACCACCACCACCTCTATCCCTTCATATAACTAGGGGTTAGGGTCGGCAATGGGCTGGCTGGCTAGCTTAGCCCGTACTCCTGGCGCATAATGTATTGTAGGAGTTTTAAACACATATAAGGCATATACAAAAACGATATATAAAAGGTTATTCGATAGGATAATATTTATGTGAGACAACTTTATATTATAGAAGTAAAGTGCACCTAAAAAAGACATACTGATAAAAGTTTTTTTGGATACCAAAATCATCATAATCTTGAGATGTAAGGATATTAAAAAAAAAAAAATATGGCTTTGAAATCCGAAATATATTATATATTATAATATATTATTTGAAACGTCTATTTTCAAGATTTTTAAGTATTTATAGATATGCTTGATCTACGCTATTTTTGGAGCTTTAAATTTTATAATTAGTGAAAAATACTTTTCAGACCATCTGACAATAGAATTTGGCGGTGTGCTTTACTTTGATTGTTTACCCTGTTCGAAAATAAGTAAGATGAGATTTTAAACCTAAATAAGATTGTTTAGCATACATGCATGCCAAATAATATAGATCATCTGTACAAATCAATAACACCCCACCATATCACTTGTAGACTATTTTACTTTGTAAAATATATAATTGATACCATGTTACCTGCACACATATTGAAAATCAACTACAAAAAAACACTTCATATAAAATTCCATTCTCTCTTTCCATCTCTCTTTCTCTCACCTGGCCACAAAAATGGCTCTATCTCCTCTCTTTATTCCATGTATCTCTCTCTCCCTCCCTTCCCCCCAGCCCAAGGTCAACCCAACGAACTATTCTTTCTCTCTCTACAAGACAGTGTCTCTCTCTAGACTCACAAATTATAAGGGTATTAGGTTTGTTTATGTAGAGAGAGAAAGATAAAGAGAACTACTAGGATTGGCTTTATTTAGAGAGGAATGCTTATAGAATTGGGGAGGTAATAAGGATTGGGATAGAAAAATAATATAGGTTTGTGTTTAGAGAGAGTAGTAAGATTGGTTGCAAAAAAGTAAGATAATACTAGATGAAGAAAGAAATAGTTTGGGTCGTGAGACTACCAAGATTGGCTTTGGAGAGAGAGGGAGACTGTTGCTCAAAAAATAGTACAGATCATACGGATGAACATTTAAAATATGGACAGTCTGGACAATATGTTATAGTATACATTATTTTAAAATTTGAAATCCTTTTTTTTTTTTCACAACCGATAATGAAATATGGTCGAGATTCAATTTGACTCTCCTATATTTTATAGAGGGTAAATACACTTATTTGCTCTTTCTTGGAAAACAAAATCTTCGAGGCCTCATTTTTCTTGCCTCATCTCACATGCCACTTTCTTTTTTCATAGTTTTTTCCCTCCTCTTTTATCTGTATCTCTCTAAAATTCCCTTTCATGGCTTATTTTACTTCTATAATTTAGAATTAAAAGAATACACAACTAATATATTATGAGCCTAATGAGGCCTTTAGCCCAATCCGGCCCCTCCAATAGTCATTATTGCTATTATTCTTCTTAAGAAACCTTAAAATATATAATAGAATACCCCATGAACTTATAGGTGGTTTTTGGTATTTACTTTTCGTCTATATTTTTTTTTTTCTAGGTGTGCCCCAGTAAGAAACGGTGACATCCAAAATTTGACTCAAATATATTTTGTAGGCAAAAGATTCAAAACCAAATAGCGTTATGGCATGACATAATGACATGAACGATTTCATCTCGTCCAATCAAATCGAACAACTAAGAAGTGGGGTCGTATCGGTAAGTAGAATTCGATACAAAACCTTCCATTATGTTGGAAAAGCTTCACATGTGAACCCATCCATATATAAAGCGTGTGTGACTTAGCTCTCAGCAGTCAGATCTAAGCAAATTTGGCTATTGAGCATTAAATTTTGATTTAATGGCTCAGAGTGTTATATTTTTATTTAGCGTGAAATTTAAGGTATCCATTCATCTAACAACAACCCACGTAACAAAAAAATTTGCTAGTAATAAGAAGAATTCCATAATACCTCTGAAACCTAGGGGGGCTTTCTGGTTTTTTTTTTTTCGTCATAAATTTTTTTTTTTTGCCATGTGCCCCAATAAGAAGAGGGGATGCGCATTTGACTCAAAAATATTTGGTAGTAAAAAGATTAAAAATCAAATAGTATTCTGACGTGACATTGTGACTTAAGCGATCCCAACCATTCTTTTAGATCGAACGATTGAGATGCTAGTCACGTATGCTTTACATGTAATACTTTATATATAGGTGGAGTCACATCACAAACATTCCCTTCCGCCAAAAAGTGCGTATAAATTTCACATTTCTTTTGGGAAAGGTGACACATTCCACGAGAGTGAAGTTTGTTATGGTATCTTCACATCATCGCGGCCATGCAAAGTCAACAAGCAACGGCTGGGGTAAAGTGAAGACACTGTAGGATACTTCTTTGGTGTCATTGCAACAAAACACACGTTCCCATTGAAATTAATTAATCAAATAAGGTGACAGTAATTGGTTCGGGCTTTAATGGTTAGTACTAACGAGCCTATGCTGCGGCTTTGATGGATAGTACTACCAAGCCTACGAAGAAGTCTCCAACCCCATTTTCATAAAAAAGTAGGGCTCAAATCCCCATTGGCTTACTTTTTTCAAGAATGGGGTTGGGTGGGGGTGTTAACCCTTTCGAGAATGGGGTTGGGTCATGGTGGAGGCACTCTCAACTAAGATCTATGTTTCCATTTTCACTTAAAGCACTCAAAATGCCACTAGTGATTTCAAAAAACAAATGTTATTTAATGTAGTTAGTTTTTAAATAATGATGCATGTTTCAGGCTAGAGCGAGGATATTTTCGACTGTAAAAGCCATCATTGAAGAAAGAAGGAACACTGGCAGTTATGCTAATAATGGGAGGAATGAAGATTTTCTGGATATTTTAATGGGGAGTAATACTTTGTGTGAAGATGAGAAGGTTAGCCTGGTGCTTGATCTCCTTCTTGGTGGTTATGAAACAACCTCCTTGCTCATGGCCATGGTGGTCCATTTCCTTAGCTTCTCACCCTTGGCTCTTGAACAACTCAAGGTACTCTCTCTCTCTCTCTCTCTCTCTCTGGGGTCATTAAAATGGAAGAGATTGTATTACGATTAGCCTTGTGTTATGCAGGAAGAGCATCAAAATATAAGAGGCCGAAAACGAAACGATGAGTACTTGAACTGGGAAGATTACAAGCAGATGGAGTTCACTCAGAGTGTAAGAAAAGTATTTGTATTTTCATTATATATGGCAGTTTGAGTTCACAACCAAAAGGACTTTACGCAAAAGGAAAAAGGCACTGCTGTTTCAATTTGTGGGTTTTCCTTAAGCTATATTTTCTTGTGAAAATGATCTGATATCTGAGTGATGGTAAATAAATTTTTGGATATTTTATGTTAAACAAAACTCTGACATGTTTAAGAACAAGTGTAGGTTGTTAATGAAGCCCTGAGATGTGGAAATATTGTCAAATTTGTGCATAGAAAGGCCCGCAAGGATGTCAAATTTAAAGGTATACATTGTTCTTCTTAATCTCTCTCTCTTTCTCTAAACAAATTTAAAAGATGCATTTAGGATATCAGGGAGGTTATAGGTGTTCTGGTTCATTAAAATCAGGAGAGTTTCTCCTTTTTCTCTTTTGCATTTTTTGTAATCTATCACATGATTAATGTTTTTTTTTTTGTTTTCTCAGATTATTTAATACCATCAGGCTGGAAGGTGCTGCCAGTTTTCAGTGCAGTGCACCTTGACCCAACCCTTCATGAAGATGCACTTCAATTCCATCCATGGAGATGGGAGGTGAATTATTCTGTTCTTTTTTCTGTAGATTTTGGAAATATTTTCCCTCACATAAAACTGCTTATCTAAATACTCTATTATTTTAATTTCAGGTTCAGGGCCCTCCAAGCAAGAAATTTACACCATTTGGCGGAGGACCGAGGTTTTGTCCAGGCTCCGATCTTGCTAAAGTTGAAACTGCATTCTTTGTCCACCACCTTGTACTTAAATTCAAGTAAACGTTCTTTCCAATCAAAGTTTCCCATGCAAATTTAGAGGTTGTTCCATCTCTGAGCTAAAATATGAAATAGTCTAGCCTTTCAAGAATCAGAGGTGGTCCTCTAGCTCAGCTACATTTAGAGGAGTTCTCTGTTTTCTATCTCATTATGTTGGTTTGTCTTAGTCTGAAGCATGCCTGAGTTGCACCTAAATTTAGAGTACTCTTATTTTGTAGGTGGACAACTGAAGGAGCAGACCATCCAATGGCATATCCCTACGTTGAATTCCAAAGAGGGTTGCCTCTAAATGTTCAGCCAATTTTATCGCAACCTCCTTTCTGACAGTCGGAATTGTAGTTCTAGTTTTTGTATTAATGAAAGCATTAGAATAACAGTAGCAAATATGATAGTTTAAATCCTCAGTAGATCAAAATTAAATAATTTGTAGAAGAAATATCTCCCATTTTTCAGCAATAAAATATATTTGCCAATGTCATTGTATTTTTCTAGATACTACATGAAAAGTAGTTGGGTTTCTTCTTGGTTAAATATAGAATAATACAAGAAAACATGTATATCGGCGATCAATATCCCAATCATAAAAATTAATATGAGCAATAACATAAAAGAAACAAAAATTGATATTTAGGATGCACAAATTGATGCCTTAAAAGGAAGGTAACATGATATTTCATAATTCATATATTAACCCATACACCCATCCCATGGCTTTAAACATTCACTGATCAAATACAATCCAAATATTATCAAGATTATGTGAGCAGACCCTCGGTCTCTTATTTCACTGAAACTCAATAATGCATTAGACAACATTAGATACTCCTTTACAGCGGCAAAGCTATTTGACTCGCATTAGATGGAGTAATGGTTAGCTTCTTCAAACTTCAGGCCTAAAATGAAAGACTGATGCTCCAAAAACTGTCCTCATAATGAATTCCTGTCGGGATTATCAGAGTCAAGAAACCAGTTTTTGGTTCAAACTCATATGCTGTCTCCTTTGTGTTTACAGTGCAAAAATTTGGCCTTGTACTAGAGTATGCTCCAAAGAGACCACAGCCAAGTCCTTTAATTTTTACCTCACATTTCAAATTATCAGATACAAAGTCAATTGCTTCAATGGCACCACCAGAGTTGTACATATTCACTAACCCAATGGGCGAAAACTGGACCTTGCAATCATAGTCCTGTTGAATCCACAATTAAGTTTTATTTAATGCAAGTTATCCCATATTTATGACTTGCGACCGTGAATTAACATAATAAAGGATAGTTTGATATGAACTAAGACAATTTAATGTTGGCTATGCAATCATAGTAGAGAGATCAGAATATGATTGAGAATGAGAGATGTAGTTGACAAACCCTTATTGGAGCAATGGTATAGATTTCACACTGCAAAACTTCCAAGGAGATACTTATTGATCCTGTCTTCGGCAATCTAGAAAGAGAACCTGACAAAAGAGAATCATACTGATCAACAAACGCAGGTTCTGCAGATGGATATAAAATCAGCGGATGGGTATAATACTACAATATTTTCAATAGACCATGCACACATTTTTTAATGGTCAAATGCATAAAACAGAAAAATGGAAAGTAGAAGGTCAATATATGACTTGTTCAAAGGCAAACAGGACATAGTATAATCTGGAATACTGCACAAATAGCTTATGAATATATATTGTGTAACTTGGTATTTCTCTTTTGACTGGTAAGAGTGGAGTTTTGAACCCAAAGGTTTAAAGCGCAAGAGAAAGGATGCGCTTGCAGTCTATAGCAAAATAAGTTTTGGGATATATATTTCTAGTGAACCATACCTGTGCTAAAGGCGTATACTGCACAATCTCTAGTCCAATTATGCCCAGCTGCCTCTTCAAGATGCTCAATATCAATAGGACTAACATGTCCTGTAAGGCATAGTGGCTCTTGGTCTGTATTAGTTTGAACACAATCTAGACATGGCCATACGCCTGCTCCTTGACAGTTGAAAATGCCCAAGACCCCAGAGAGCTTGTTCATGTTCCATATCTTCAGCAAGCTGGATAAGGATGTTACACAAGATGGTAATCAAAATGATTAATTTTTTTCTTTATGTTTTTGGGTAGTGATCCAACAATCAGATGATATTTTCTTACAATTTTCTAGTGAGAGGGGAACGATTCCAGGGAGTGTGCATACGTACCTCTTCCCATCCATGGCAGGGTCATTAAATAAAGAATCACGTGTAGGCCTTCCAGGAAGTTTAGCTCTTAGAACTGATCCATCAGGAAGAACAAGCTTCTTAAGGATCTCAAAATCATGGTCTCCAGGCTTATCACTGTTGAAAATAATTCGATATGAAATAAGGGTTTCTGCATGCTATGTTTATATTTTCTGTAAACAGAATTATAGACAAATATGTACTACTAATCAATTGGATACATAGTACTCAACGAACAAGCTTCTTAAGGATCTCAAAATCATGGTCTCCAGGCTTATCACTGTTGAACATAATTCGATATGAAATAAGGTTTCTGCATGCATGACATATAATTGCCTTCTCTAAACAGAATTATATACAAATATATACCACTAGTCAATTGGATACATAGTACTCAACAAGCAAATAATAACCTAACATTCCCTGGTAACATATATACAAAATATTAAACATATTCATGCTAACTTTTAACAATACCCAAATTAGCTCACCTAACATAAACACCACAACCACCCAATGCTCGAGCCACTGCATGAAATTCCGCAGTTCGATGATTGCTCTGAGATCCAGAAAACATAATAAGAGACTTACTCTATTCCAAGAAGGAAATGAGAAAACTAAAGCAGAAGCAAGACCCAATACTGGAAACAAGAAAAATCAGAAACACAAAGTAATATTAGAAAAGTGGAAATTACATAGAACATGTCCCAATCTGGGACTACAAATTCACCAAGAAGAATACTGTTGAAAGCCACTGAAGCAATGTGCAATGTCTGTGAATCTGGTCTTCTTGGCATGTAATCCTCTGAAGCTCTGGTAACAGCACTCTTCTTTAAACTGCAAAGGAAAAATAGAAATATAATAAAGTGTACATTTATATAGATATGCATCTTCGACGGAAAAAAAGCTATTTGTGAGAGAGAGTGATCACTGATGAATATTTTCATCCAACGAATTATTTTCTCTTAAAAAAACACTATGAAGATGGTCTGTCTCATTCTTTTACCTATAAATAGAATCTGTATTATGAGCCATGCAGCAGATTAAGTTATTGTGGTTGAAATTTTTTGCAACCGATTCTTCCAGAGCATGTTGGCACTGTCGAGTAAGACAAACCCGGCCTCCTAAACCCCCTCCAAGTGTTTCTATTAAATTCTGTACATCCACCTTAACCCCATCTATATTTTGAGAAGCAAGATACTTGTGCATATCATCAAAGAATTCAAATATTTTGCCAGGATCAATTGTGCCGACACCATATTTCTCCAAGCTATCCATGGCTACATCCCTGAGATTCCCAATATTTCCAGGAGATTGCACAGGGTACAGTAACTTGGGACTATATTTTTGCATCTCTGGAGAAGATGGAAGGACTCCTCCCCAGTATCCCATCAATGCATGCCATACATAGACATATCTGTGGAATGTCCAAGATGTTATATCAGTTGATAAATATTATAATGAGTAGAGATAAAAGAAACTGCAATGAATATATCCAAAATTTTGCCATACTTCAAACCATAACTCTCTTTAATGGCTGTCACAAAATCTCTAAGACTATTTTGAGCACCAGTTCCTTGAAATTTTTTGTTTTCCTTGATGCTGACTAATCTTGAAGCAAACCTGAATTCAATGAGATTTAGTTTTATTAGATAATGTCAACATGTTCCTGGTAAAAGAAAAATCAGAAACGAAAATTTGGAAGCAGGAACAAATGATGAGGAAAAACTTACTGTGTTCCTTCAATGAATGGCTCCCCCTCTTTTTGGAATTCATTGAATGTATCTTGCCATCCATCATCAATAATTAAGAACTTTGGTGGGGCTCCCCCTTCTGATAAGCTGTGAAATGATAAACCAATTTGAAAAATCAAAGGACTTCATACCACAAGTAAAATTATCTCTATAAAGTTCAGGCCCAAGGAGAAAGCCACAAGTGATATCACGCAAAACGAACATCCCTTCTACTAATAATTATCAGGATTTCTTCTATCACAGAAATGAAACTTTGGAAATATGGACAAGAGAAAATTTGATTTTAATAGAAAAGAGACTCAATTTTCGGTTATGTTTAGACTCCAAAGCATGACTAGAGAGCTCCCCTAAGATATTTTCATGACAAGGGTCATGCGATCCTTGATGCCCATATTCTCATTTGCAAGCCCACGAGCAACTACATTGTGAAATTTCAGTGTATATTCATCATGTGTTTCTGGTGTCTTCATTTCCAGATACCATTAAAGCAGAGGCACCTGCAAATTAAAATTACAAGCACACCCACAAGAAATACGAAATGAACTAAAAATTATACATCTATAAAACAAATTGTTACCTTTTTAGGCCTTCTCTGATACCTTGAGGATTAACTTGACTGTAGAAAGCATCCCATGTGCACCAACCAAACCAATCTAGGTTTTCAGGCATCTGTTAAGTAAAATGCCAGTACTCTGTTAATCTTACTCAGTTAGAGGTATATAATCACCAGGCTGATCATTCTGTTATATAGCTTGACCATGACATTTGTACTGCAATAGCTTAAAGGAAAAAAGTTATGACTTGCCTTCTTGCTCTCACGATGCATAAAGCCTCCCTTGTGCTTCTCCAAGAACCTATAAGTTCAGGAAAGAGAGAGTGTCACAATTTTTAACAAAATCAGGCATGATATACTTACAAAACTAAAATGCTATAAATTAAGCCTTATATCTTGAGAAACTACATAATTGATTCCTTCATAAGCTCGAATGGGTTGTCCCCTGAATTGACAAAAACTGATTCCAGAGATTGAGAGATCTCCAGCTCAGGATCACCTGTAATAACATTAGAAAATAATATTCTCTTCAAAAATACATAATTAAATAATAACATTGCAACAGCATTAGCAATAAAATTGGGAACTCTAGAACAGTTGACAAGTTTCACCAAACAATTGGTACATACAAACCACAAAACCAAGCTCTGTGAGAGAGTTAATAGAGAAAGGGGATATATAATTAAATAATAACATTTCAATAGAATTAGCAATAAAATTGGCAACTCTAGAACAGTCGACAAGTTTCCCTAAACAATTGCTACATGCAAACCACAAAACCAAGCTCTGTGAGAGAGTTAACAGAGCAAGGGAAAGCCTAGTGAATTATTGAAACAGAAAGTTGTCGTAAAATGCATTTCACCCTATCATAACATTAAAAAAGAACATATAAGCAAGTATCTTACCAAAAAACAAGAAAAAGACTCACCACTTTCAATGCAAAACTCAAGCTCATTTGCTGCATTCCCCTGCAAGCTGCTTCTAAACTCCCCATCCAAGACAGGCAGGAACAGGATATAAAACTTAGACCCATTAGCAACACTCTGGTTTTCTTGTTCAATAGCTGATTTTTCCTCAACTTCAAGGAGCAACATCTGAGTTTCTACAGGAATGTCGCTTGCTGAATTTCCAAATCTGGGTATCATCCACCAAATTTTGAATCTAAACAGACAAACCAATCTGTAATCCCTGCAAATCCTCACGAGGACCCAGAAGAACACATCAAATTTCAACCCTTTCAAATGTCATCTACAGAATTTAATGTGGCGTGATTGTATGCAAAAGAAATGCAATAATGAAAGGCACCCACACATGAGCTCAAAATAAAATAAAAACTACAAAAAAAACAACTGTCTAGAAATTGCAGAGAGACCCATTATAAAGCTCAATAAGCATCTAGGAGGTGGGTAGAACCAATTGATCTCCCTTAGGGAAGTTGTTCTATACTGCTAAGCTGATGCAGTGATTAAAACATCGCCCACCTGACTCAGGAATTGACCAATTTGGATCAGAACGCGTGGCTGGCAACTCCAGGCTGAAAAAAAATATGGAATCACTTGATTCTCCCAGTTTTCTAATCTTTTTTATTTTTTATTTTTTTGGTTAAATATAGCCTGGTCCAACTAGGAATCACCTGAGTTGGACATGGGTAATTGGAATTGGACCCCTGCTAAGTCAGCCCGATTCTGATTTTTGAAACGATGAGCTGATGAACATGAATTGAACTATAATTGTCACAAAATTTAGAGTTTTAGAAATCCACATTGCATAGGACTAGAAAAATAAATATGACGAGTTAGGATTGAAATAATCCCAATCAACAAACAACAACTTGAAACTCTCTCAAGTCCAAAGTCCAAACCGTCCAAAAACAAACACAAGTAGAGGGGAAACAGCTTGTTCTCGTTGTTGTACCGATTCAAATGGTTCTGTCAAAATTTCCATATTTTATGGGGTAAGAAATCCCTCTAATAAGATGAAAAATGAAATAATAAATTAGAGAAATTGCAATAAAATTTATATTTTGATTGTTTAAACATTGTCTGCCCGACTAAGTTAATTGTTAAACCTTACCATTACATTTAATCCAAACGGCCTTGATCATCCTTAATTCCAAATTTCATGTCATTTGTGTAAAAGAAAGAGAGAGAGAAAAATTGAAGAGAAAATTTGCCTTAAATCCAACAAATAACAAGAAAACAAAATAATAAACTCAAACATTTTAAAAAACATAATGCAATTTGAAAGATCATAAAACTCCAAGCAATTATTTACTTAATGTTGGAACTAAATGAAAGGAAAGCAACTGACAGGACAGTAAGGTCATTTACACGAAAGGTTAAGGACAGTAGAATCAATTCCGAAGAACGTATTATGAAAATCAGGGTGATAACGCAGTGATGTTCTTACCTAAAAACCACAACATAAAACATTAACGTAAATAAAAGGAAACGAACAAATATAGAAACAGAAATTCGAAACTTTAATTCGTTACATTTGATTCAGAACAAAGATTTCAAATAGAGACAGAAAGAGAGAGTAAAGAACTAGCGGGTGGAGAGAGAGGGAGAGGGAGAGGGAGAGGGAGAGGGAGAGAGCTCACTGTAACACCCCGAGCTTGAAGACATGGCGACTCCTCTTCTCCTTCGACACCGCTCCCAAAAACACCGACGAATTTGAAGCCGGCGATACCAACACATTGTCCGGCACACCCGTCAAAGCGTCACAGCCGTTGATCTTCAAGCAAGCGTCCTCAATCCACGGTCTAGAACTCACCGTCATTCTGCACCTCGCAAAGTCCCTCTTCCCCCAAATTCTCTCACCCAAAAGCGCCCTCTTCTTCGAAACGAACACCAGAGAAGAAAAGCTCACAGTGCTATTAACATGCCTCAAAACTGGAGAAATCATGGCCTTTTATTGGCGCTCCCCCTGAAGGGATTTACCCTAAACTTGGTCGTATTTTGACTTTGAAATCAATATCAGAGAAACAGTATTTTATTAATTTTTTAGTGAACAGTGTGCCGGGATTTTGACAGAAATTCTATGTGTTTTCGTTTCTCAGCGCGGGAATTCCCGTTGTCTGGTTTCCCGGTCGCCGGGAAATTTGCTAAGAGAAAATGATGGGGTACGGAAGAGTCTAGAGAGAGAGACGGCATTTTAGGTCGAAAGAAGAGATTTTGAGATTTGGCACCCACTTTTTTATTCTTCTTTTTATTCTTTTATTGTAGGGTTATGCATGGAAGAAGCTTCTGCAACAAGATGAAGGGGCACATTTCTTTTACAAAAGCAACAATTTAAAATGAAAAAGCGAAGTTTGGATGTTTGATTTTTTTTAAATGAGATTAATAAAACATGATAAATGGAGGGAATTTCATCTTTTGTTGGGTCTCCGTATGATGTTTCTACGGGACCGTACTGTTCATGTACTCCATCGGATAAAGACCTTCTAAAGACGATTTTTTCCGATATGAAATTTTGAGAACCACCAAATAATCAGAAAATTATTTAAAAATTTGCATATTTAATCATACAAATCTCACGGTTGGTTATATTGACACTATTTTATCCCGGAAAGATAGCAGATTTGAAAAATGTTAATGAGGTAAGTCGAGGTGTTGATGAGGATTTAACATCCTAAAAATATTCCTACTCTCGATTTTACCCCAAGAAGCATTGTTGGTATATTTGCTTCCGAGCTATCTTCGGTTTGGTAGAAAAAATGAAGTGATTCTATGTTTTGGCCGATTCATCTGAATTAAAAAAATATATATATATATATGTAAATAAATAAAGAAAAAAAGTTTATATAGAGCCAAAGCTCTAAACAATCAAATTAGAGCTCACCTCATAAATTTCACTAGAAGAGGTTGTTTTGATGTTCAAATTTCCTCAAATTGATCATCTAGACATCAAGATGCATGGACAAAAGAAAAAAATGGATTTCAAGTTTTGAAAATAGTACATCTTGTAACGCATTTTTGGACCGTCGATTGTTAAGAGTTTCAAGTTTTCATAGATCTGCTCAATCTACACTATTTTTTAAGCTTAAAATTTTATAATTAAATATGAAAATATATTTTAAGATTATCACAAAGATTTCTAGTATTGAAACTACATTTTTCGACACTATTTGAAGGTTGCCTTTAATTTGATTGTTTAGAGCCTAGGCTATATACAAACCACACGTATATATTTATGTAAAATTTATTAAAATAACAAAAAATTTCAAAATAAAAAATTCAATTTTTTTTTAAAAAAAAAAACAATTTTGTGCTTAAGCCAAGACTTCGACCAAAGATTATGAATCAGATCAAAGCGGATCAAAGCACATAATTGTATTTTCAAAAGCCATTTATGTGCTTCGGCCGGATCAGATAGAAGCGGCCAAAGAAAGCCGAAGCTAATGCATTGCCACTTTGGTCTAAACCGAAAATCCGAAAGACTTCAACCAAAGCAAAACAAAACAAAAATTGATAATATTGCCAAGAAATAAACAAACACTGAAATTATACAGATACCATAGTGTTAAACGTATAATATCTATGGTTTTCTTTATTTAATTTTTTTTCTTTTTGTTAAACTTCGAGTTATAGGTGTTTGTTTCTCATAGTCTTATTTGTAAATTTTTCATTTTTTTCGCCTCTAATTATTTAGTAGTAATTCGTCATGCCATGTACCAACAATTAAATATATTCCAGACGGTTCCATGTTTTTCATATTCGCTGTCTGAGGTCTTATTACGTTTTTTTTATGCGGGCACTAATCCTGCGTGGCATTGGCCCCACTGCCAGACCTTATCTTACATATAACCCATCATCTTCTCGGGTCCCACAATAAGCATCCAAACGAGCAGTTATGGTCCATCCACGTCAATAGAGTGGACCGCATCATTCCTGAGTTTGATCGACGTCACGCTTGACTTCGATACAATAAAAGTTTACATTGCAATTTCAATTCTACAAGTAAGGTGACATTAATCTACATTGTGTTTTATTTTATTAAATTGGTATAGATATGATATTATGTTAAAAGGTGTCATCATTTTTTTTAGCACAATGTTAAAACATGTCATACCTATACTTTTAGCACAATGTTAAAACATGTCATATCTATACTGTTTAACTAAAATAGATGACGTAGAACATCACAATTTTATTTCTACATATCAGGTTGTCGCCTTATGTAAATCGCACCTTTTAATAATAGATCCGATTTCAAATGCGGCAAGCCCGCATATGTAGAAATGCGGGCCTCTTAATAAATCGATCTTTGAGGTAGGTTTTGAGACGTAGTTTTTAAGAACATATAATAAAAACATGAATATGAAAAATTAATAAATTTTAAAAACTATACAAAATAGTTCTAGCAAAAAAACATTTAAACCGTTAGTTTCCATTATTTTTAAATGGAACACCCACTCGCATCCATCTTTAAGATGGATGCTTTATACTTTCTAGACGGCATATGTAGAAATACGGTCCAACGTGCATGAAACAATTTTTCTTTATTAACAGCGTGTGTAATAGTATCACATGAGTGTATTATATACTTACTCCCTCGGGCAAAGAGACATTCAAGAGATCTTTTTCATTGCAAAAATTTGTAATGCATTTTATAATCAGCGGACGAGAACTTTATGAACAAAGAAAGACATTTTGATTTCTTAAATGTTTAGATATGTTATCCAAAAACTAAAGGACATGGTTTCTATGAGTCCACGGACTCACATGTAGAAATACGGGTCCTTAATAATTTATTTTCGAAATGGAATTTATTCTTATTTTCTAGGGAATATATAACCTTTAGCATGTGGATTATTAATCTGTAAAAATAAATAAATTTTAAAAAATAAAAATGATTTTTTTGGATAAAATATTTGAACCGTTGATTTTACTTTTCCTTTAGAAAATTACACTTTCTTAAGTAGATGGTGTAGATCTCCAAGTCCGTATAATAACAGGTGTGAGCTTGGACGCACCAAACATTTCTCCAAAACTAAATGATCTCCAAACAATATAATAAAGAGATAAAAAGGATTATGATTGCCTTTTTGTTTTGGGTAGTTTTCTTTAAAAAATCATTATCTCTCCCTCTCTCTTTTTTCTTTTTTTTTAACATTTAAACATAACCTCTCCCTTCTCTCTCTTGTAGATGCATTTAAGAGAGTCTCTCTTTCTATATTTTTCTCTCTCATTGATGTATTTAAAACATATGCAACCTTTCTCTCTCACATTTAAATGCATCTAAGAGAGTTGTCTCTCTCATAAATCCATTTAAGAGATACATCCTCTCTCTCTCTTGGGTATTTATCTAAAAAACGAAATTCTCTCTCTATGCATTTAAAACCCATACAATTTCTCTCTCTCTCTTTCTTGTATGCATTGAAGAGATACATAGTCTTTTTCTGATTGATCCATTTAAAATACATGCAATCTCCATCTCTCTCTCTCGTAAATACATTTAAGAGAAACACAATCTCTCTCTTGATTAATTTCTCGCTAGTTAATGCATTTAAAACACATACAATCACATGCACTCTCTCTTTATTATGTGGATGCTTCATCTCTCGCTTTTCTTGTAATCTCCTGCTCTCTCTCAGTGATACATTTAAAACATATGTAATCTCTAGGTTTCTCTCTCTCCAAGGTTATTTGAAAGGAATGGTTACGTGGAACTCATAATATTAATAAATAAATAAAAAAGTTTATTTAATATACATGAGTTCTACTTATATGAGATACTATACTCTGCTGTAAATTAAAACTAATATATTAGATACAACATAGGGTCTTTATTTTGTCACCAAAATAAAAATAAATCATCCAAAACAATAAACAATCTTTCCACTATAGTTTTGAATGCAAAATATGTTCCTAAAAATGCACAAAAAATATGAAATATTACTGAAACATAATTAAATATATTGGAAAGACTTACCTGAAAATGCATGGAGTTATTACATGTCTTAATATACCCTACACCCGATTCCGTGACTAATGACGCACTTTTAGTTCTTAGGTGTTGCTGGAATTTCTGATATATGGAAGTTTTTCAAGCAAAATCTTTCAATTTAGGGTTTTAAAGAGTTAAAAAACTCAATCATGATTTATAAAAACCCTATAAGAGTAAACTAGAGTTAAACTTGTGAGTTGATCTCTCTTTAAGCAGAGTGCCTCCTTTCTTCCTTCAAAATAAATCAAACCTTAACTCTAGAGGTTCATATGGCATGACACTTCTTTTTTTGTTTTGGTTGAGTGACACATGATTGGAGAACGTGTGTGCGTGTGTGAGAGAGAGAGATCATATGGCGTGGAGAAAAAAGGGACTGTCTACAAAGAAATCATTTATGTTTTGTACTTGGATATCACAAATATTATTGCGAAAATCATTTCATGTGGGCTGGACCGCATGATTACATATGCGGTCCAAAAAGTGTAAAGCATCCATCTTAAAGATGGATGCAAGTAGGTGTTCCATGTAAAGACAACAGAAACTAGCTGTCCAAATATTTCTTACTACAATTATTATTTCTAGTTTTTTTAAAATTTACTTATTTTCTGATCTCCATGTTAGAGATTGTATGTCTTTAAAAATTAAATCCAAAAATCCATCTTAAAAATATATTTATTAATATGCCCGCATTTCTACATATGC